TTTCAAATTTACCGATGGTAAATTCATTTCTCCATCGGTACCGTCGGACAATCTCTATTTACCGATGGTAAATTCATTTCTCCGTCGGTACCGACGGACAATCCGTATTTACCGATGGTGAATTGCCTTACCATCGGTAACGACGGTACCGACGGACAGTGTCTTGGAGGGCTACCTTATGTCATCGCAATAATGCTAACTATCTCATTCACCGACGGACTTTTCATATTTACCGATGATAAATTCATTTCTCCATCGGTACCGACGGACAATCTCTATTTACCGATGGTGTCAGTTTAAAATCTTTATTACCTCCAATTTCTGAAGAGTATTTTACAAGAAAGTATATATCAATACACATATACACACACATACATACTTATACATACAAATAAAGCTAACTAACTAGTTAACTAACTACTTAAATTGAAATTACACTAGTTTGAAAACAAGATGAAATATAACATGCAGATTGCAACAAATATAACGTCCACAGTTCCATATTAAAGCATAAAGTTTCTGATTGTAAGCCTAAAAGAGTAAGCATAAAATCCGTGTCCGATAATGTTGCTAAATAAACCGCAAGCTCTAAAGGAAGATTATCGTTTACCCAGTCCCACAATAGTTCACGCTCGTTTTGCGAACCTAAGCAATAAAGCAGAGCATGAGTAACAGGATTTAAATAGTTACGATTGCATGAGTCACAATAGTCAATGTACGTATTAGGATGATCCACACGCTTCCCCCTGACCTTGTATGAGCCACAAATTAGTCTTATGACGTTATTAATCTCCTTCATGAAGGATGGATTCTTTCTTGCTATTATCCACCAATGAGAAACTTCATTCTTTGTATGAACCTTAGAGTAGAGATATAGTTGATTGTTTTTACTAATCTTTTCTCGCCAAACACGATCATATTGCTCTCGAACATGTTTATTGACAGTTTTTTTCCACAGAGTTTTTATAGGGAAATCATTTGTGAGAATATAAGTGATTAAAACTTGCAAAAGGTCGTACTTTGCGAGAATTTCAACAATGTCTGGCACAAATTCGGTTAATTTTTTGCCACAGTTCCACTTCCACCTTAGTAACCTGATAAAGAAGACACGGCGGCATGGTGCACCGACACCCATGTTTATCAATCTTCCCAGAAAATACAATTTTCGCTTATCTATCTCCGCTTCAACTGAAAGTAAGCCGAGAAGTCCCCGTGCCGCAGACCCA